GGGAACATGTTAGATTAAATTAACTCTTCTGTTTCTAGCATTGCACAATTCTTTCTCATGTCAGCCTCAAACTCACAGCGAGGGCAACAGCAGACATGTGCCTGTCATATCCCAGTCATAAAAGACTCTGAAGGCCCAGGCCCATCTCAGGCCACTGAGGACTAAAATCAGGTCTCCTACCTGCTGTTCCAGTACAGCATGAAGCTTGTCCTGCCGCTCCGTACAAAGGAAGCACCCCTTTCAGACAGCTGATGCTGAAAAACTGACAAGCCAGGGAAACTGACAAGCCAGGGGAGGGGAGATAGCTCAGTGGTAGAGTGCTTGCCCCAGGAGGTATAAGACTCTGAATTTCTCCCCAGAACCACCAAGAAGGAGGGGAGGGAGGGACGGAGGGAGGGAGGGAGAGAGAGGGAGGGTAGCTGTTTACTTTATTTCTATGTTAAAATGCAGTACTTTGCCAATAATTCCAACTTGAAAGGTACTTAAAATTTTTTTATGTTTATTTATTTTGGGGGGGTGCATGTCACAGCAAGCATGTGGAGGTCAGAGAGTAACTTGTAAGAGCAGGTTCTCTTTTTCTACCACATGGAAAGGAGTATTCTGGGTATTGAGCTAAGTCAGGCTTTGCCGCCTGAACTTTACCCACTAAGCCATCTTGCTGGTCCCTTTGAAAGATACTTCATTATCCCAAAGCTGTATGATATGCTCTACTAATTTTTTACCCACACACAATTAATGAAAAAAAAAAAAAACCACCATTTTCTTCCTTATGAACAGGCTACTCAGACATAGACTCCTTAGAGCCAAGCTCTTCAACGTCAGCACTACAGACACTTGAGGCTAGAATATATGTGCTAGGTATCTCCTATGCAATGCAGATACTAGGCCAGAAAAAGGCCTTCATCCACCAGTGACCACTCGCTTCCCACTATCACCCTGTCCCCAAAATTGAGACAACCAAAAAAGTCTTCCAGAAACTGCTAAATGTTAGAGAAGGTGGACAGAACTTCCACTATTTGCGAACAACTGCCTTTAAGCAATCCAAAAGTATACTTGTAAGGGCTCATTGTACATGAAATGACTTAAAAAAATTGTTATGTACATGAGTGTTTTGCCTGTGGAGGCCAGAAGAGGGCATCAGATTCCCTGGAACTGGAATTATGAATGGCTGTTAGCTGTCATGGGAGCAGAACCTGGGTCCTCTGCAAGAGCAGCCAGTGCTTTTAACCACTGAGCCATCTCTCCAGCTCCTGAAATAACTATTGAAAAAATATTCTATTTTTATAGACTATTAAAAACATTTTTTAAAAAAGTACAACTGGGCTGGGAAGATGGTTCAAGGAATAAAGCACTTGCCATGCAAGCATGAGGACTGGAGTTTAGATCCCCAGAACCCACCTAATGCCAGATACAGTAGCATGCACCTGTAACTCCACCACTCTCCCAAGATGGGTGGTGGAGACAGAAGACTCCCTAGAGGCTAGCAGGCCAACCAGCCTGGCATGTACCAGGGTTAACAAGACAAGGTGGAAGGCAAGGACTGGCACCCAAGGTTGTCCTCTGACCTTTACATGTGCAATGAGGCATAACATACACTTGCACACGTGTGTGCATATGCATACACATACAAATTAGAGTGAAAATAAAAACACTTTAAAAATCATTTATTAAAACCTATAAACCAGTATTTAAGAAAACATAAATCACTAAGGAAGACCAAAGAAGTAAAGCCAAGTTTTGCCTTCAATTGTTCTGAATTAGTGCTGCTTTGTTTGTTTGGGTGTTTTGAGACAGTTTCTTATGCAGCCAGATTGGCCCTGAACTTGCTTTGTAGTCAAGGGTGGCCTTTAACTCCTGATCCCCCTGCTTCTACCTCCTAAGTGCTTGGATTCTGGTCATATACCACCACTCCCAGCAGAATTGGTGCTTTTAAAACAATACATGCAACAGAGACATTTAATAATTCTCTAGTAACAAATACATCAGGTTAGAAATCATATTTAATCCTACCCATCCCACAATGCTAGAATAAACATCAGAGCCTACGGCCAGCAGTCAATCCAGACTTCATGAGACAGAATTTGGCCTGGGAAAGAGGCCAAAATGGTTCATGACTAGTATGTGCTGGCTGACCCACCCACACCCTGCCTCAGAGGACCACACTGCCCGAGGATCATCTTGCCACCCATGATTAACACCCTTTTCCCTAAAAGACAATTAAGGCTAGGGAAAGAGGAAAAATACCATTTTACACAAATATCCCCAGGTTTCTTATATGCCACTCTGCTTCTTTTGGAGAGAAGGTAGAGAAGAATTCTTTGAAAGTAAACAGGGAAACAGGATTGATACATTCCCAAAGGAAACCTGAGAGACTGCAAGTTGGAGCCATCCAATTTTATTTTTAAACTACTTTTAAAAGCCGTCTCTTTAAACAAAGGGACATTCCTTTCCTTTGTGACTACAAAAGATTTTTAAGTTTTTAGGTATCAATGTGAACATGCAGACTCACCATTGCTACACAGTTAGGTCAGAAGGAAATGGTGAGTTCTACCCACTCCATGAGTTCAAGGGCTATCCAGATAGCTCTGCCACATGCAGAGGGTGTCAATCACGGATAAAGAGAGCAGGTAACTGCCAATACAGCTGAAGGAGACATGGGCAGTTACTATTGGCAGATGGGAGACACGATCATCCAACATGATCACCTGCGGCCACCCTGGAGCAAGTTCATAGGGAGGTCTGAGGGGCCTCAGGGCCCTGGGCCACTTGTGAGTCCCCATCCAGAGGGCAGCTCTGCCATTGCTGTCTTCTCTGAATGTCTTTGGTTCCATCTCATTTGTTCCACCCAGGGAAAGAGCACAAAAAAACTAGCTCTGCCCAGTTCCTACAGGTGGGGAGGTGGCTGGCAGGGGAGAAATCCCCAGGAGGAGGGCATGGAATTGCACCTGAGCAGTCCCAACCAGGCAAGAGTCATTTACATTAAAGATCATTAACCATGTGTTCAGGACTCTTGGCAAGAAGTGAGAGTTTGCAAGTTGAAAGAAGGTTTCCAAATAGAGTTTGAGTCACAGCAGTAGAAGAGCACACCAGTGGCAAGAGGGAATGGCGTCACCTGGGGCTGGGGGAACACTGTTTAATACTGGAGCTGCCTGGGTCTGTTTTGTTCTTCCCGCTCCCTCAGGAGAGATAACTACTACTTCGAGCGCAAAGCAATTGACAGGGTCAGAATTAGAAGCAGGTAGAGTGTGAGGTTTCTCTTACCAATTTTCATATCTCAATAGCAGATGTCCTTTTTTTTATTATGACTTTTTTGCTTTTTTTTTATATTTTATTTATTACTTTTATTTTATGTGTATGAGTGTATTGCCTGCATGTATGTGAGTGCATCCGTGTCGTGCAGTGCCGTGGAGGTCAGAAGAGGGCTTCAGATTCCCCTGAAACTGGAGTTAAGGATAGTTCGTAGCCGCCATGTGGGTGCTGGGAATCGAACCTGGGTCCTCTGCAAGAGCAGTCAGTGCTCTTAACCGCTGAGCCATCTCTCCAGCCCCAGCAAATGTCCTTTTAAGGTGATGAGTTAAGCTCTCCAATCTCATGTTGCACACAAAAAGGATGATGCATCCCCTATAGTCATTAAACAGCTCTGTGTACCCTACAGCTAAGGACCTAATACCACACAATTTGTAAGGAAAACATGAAATCACCATGAAGCAAATGGGCAGAAGTTCAATTTTACACATGGCAAAGGTCATGGTTTTGAAGATTTCTGACAAACGTTTTTTCTGACATACTTCAAGTCACTGCACATGCTTGACTTCCTCCTCCTTCATCGCTCATGAAACCACACAGAACCACGTGAGCTCCACCTCTGCCTTTGTGTGAGGCAGCCCGAGAGTGTCTCACTGCATATGGATTCATCCCCAAAGTGCACCCTTGCCCTGGTTTCTATTCAGGATTACATAACACCACTTTCCTTCCATAAATTATATACAAAGAACACTTTCTGTGACTGAAGTTGAGGAAAGAGAGACAGAGAGAGAGACTTAATACTATTGCAACTGACCTCATGTGGAAAGAGGTCTAACATCAAGAAATTAATGCTTACATGTTTCTTAATGCCATTTACATGAGTTCTCTTTAACTTAAGAGTAAGGAAAATGTAAGTTTGCATAGCATTTCTCTTAAAGGGAAAAGAGTTTTTATTTTGGAGACTGGGGAATATGAGAAAGGTTAATGAATAGGCTCAAACCACCAGACACTTCACTTCCCATTCTTAAAAATTCCTGGCTTAATATATCTTTCCATATAAGAGAAAAATGATAAAAAAAAAAAATCTGTGAAAGTGCAAACTCCAGTTGGGAGTCATGTGATTTGTCTCCAAGGATTTCCTGTAAAGGTCTAAAACAAATCAGAAGGCATGTGTCCTAGGAAGTAAATCTCCAAGGACTGAGGTGCACCTGTCCCACGGAGATCCAGACAATCCCATTAACTATGCTTTTACATTGAATCAATACACAACAAACTCTAAAAAAAAAAAAAAAAAGATCTGTCCTTATTTCATCTTAGGGTTTTGTATCAAATTTATAAACTCTACAAGATAGATCCCTTCACTGTGTCCATTTTTGACATTTCAGGAACACACAATGACAAATGCAATAATTTATTCATATGGGTGGGGGCACCAGAGAATTATCTGTATAATCATTTTCAATGCACTACGCTAAAAAGAAGCTTTAGACAAAATGACAGAGGTTAAATACACAAGTAATTAAAAATTTGTACTGTGTACTTTTTGATACAGGTACTCAAGCATGCTAAAAATGTTTAATGGGCATTTAAAAGAGAAAGGGGGGAAGGGAGGGAGGGAGACACAGAGGGAGAGATGGGGTAAGAGTTTTCAAAGAATCCCCCCAAATTCTAGCACAGGTAGGTTAAAGCCCAAGAGAATATTCTGCACAGATCAAATACAAAGGAAGGAAGAGCCTTTGCAGGTTAGTACTTACCAGATTCCAGGCAGGAAGAACTCATTTAAAAGGGAGAGAGGGAGAGGCAGACGGGTCTAGATGCAGATGGTTGGTCTGTTTCCCCTAACAACAGCAAGAGCGGAAGAGGAATCCTGGTCTCTCCAGTTCCCGACAGGTAATCAGCAGCCTGGAGCAGGCGGAGGGAGGAGCCGAGAGGGGAGGGCCCCTGCAGCAGCTACAACCCAGGTAGGGCCCCAAGGAGCCTCCCACCAGGCATGGAACCCTGGAGCTGTGCTGGGCTGGCTGTGAGGAAACCTGTCTGGGCTGGAAGCGGCTGCTGATGCCTGCCTCTCTCAAATCAGGAGCGAATTCAAAAGTGGGGAAGACAGAAACAGCTCATCATCGGAGGCAGTTCAGCCAATGACTACAGGAGGAACTTGGTGGATTCCCAGGACACTGAGAACAATTCAAGCCCTACAATGCGACCCTGCAACCAGACTACACCTTGGAAAATCGGCAGTCAACTTACAGTAAGAGGTGCACAGACAGCCTCAAGTCATCTGGAACCTCGGTCTCCAAGCCCTCTTTTTACAATGAATGTCAGCCTTTCCTGAGTGTTTAAACCACTGTTAGGAGGAAGATCATTCAAGGAAATGAGGACACCCCTCAAGTCATCCCCCCTCCCCCCCCCATCCTCATGAATATGAAATGAGTCTTTATTTTTATCAGCTGAAATAGCTGACTCTTTAGCTTGGTGATGCTGAGTAAGTTTCTGAGCCACTCTGATCCTTGGCTTCCTTATCTATAGAAATACACACTGAGACCCTCTTGCCCCATTGTAAGAAGCAGTGCCATCCCAGGTGTTCTTGAGAACAGCATTTGGCCATCAAGTCACTTTTGACTCCTTTACATTTCCTCAGTCTTCAGCAGCCTGTGGTGCTGAACTACTATCCCCCAATCAGCTGCCTTTCCCTAAGTGTGGAGACTGACTCAAAAGGCAGGGTGTGGGCTGGTGGAGTGTGTGCCTAGAAGAAGCAAGGCTCTGACTTCTTTACCAGCACTGCTAACAGAACAGATACACAGCCCAATGCAAGTCTATCAATGCAAAAGAAATTTTTCTACTCCCTCTTTCACCAATAAATGTCTCCAACCAGTTGGAGATACCACTTTAAAATTTAATTTTGAATCCAATGGTCAAAGACAAATCCCATGATCCCTCAAACTCAACCCTGCCAAGGACACCAAGCTACATTCCCAGGTAAAGGAGGCCCCTGCCCAAGACTCCATGAAAATTCCCATTTCGAGACCAAGCACATATTCCCTTTTAAGGGCCAAGAGTGTAGAAAGAAGAGACTGACAGTGGGGTCAGAGGGCTTTTCCTTTGAGCTTCCTGTTGAAAGGTTTTTTGTTTCTTATAAAGGGAGATCACAGTTTACTGAGAATACCATTCTTTAATAATGAAGACTAGGACTAACCTAGTCAAGAGGTTGCTTGGCCCCACCTGGGCCAAGAGGCCACCATCACCATCTGGTGGTAGCCCTAGTATACTGCAGCTATGAACCCTATACCATCTTCAATCCCCTCCAGAGAGGCAGCCAGTGGAATTCCTGCTTTGTCACATTGACTGTGACCACTAGCTTGGCTGCTCCAGGACATCCTTTGTTCTTTCTCACCAGATCTTATTTCCAGTCTTCATTCTTCTCCACACTTTAAAAAGTTCTTTTTCTCCCTCCCTATCGCATCTCCCCATCTAACATTGGGGGCCAGGGTTGCAAAAAAAACAAAATCCTCAGCACACACAGAAGAGGCAAAGAGCCAGTACGCCCTCTAAACAGGACAAGAAGAGCCAACATTACTAAAAGGAAAAAGGCACAGACCCAACCAAGACACTGAAAATACCAAAGAGAAAGCCTTGGAGTTGGGCCCTGACCATAGGGCGTGTGTGTATGTGTGTGCGCGTGTGCGTGTGTGTGTCTCTGTCTGTCTGTCTGTCTGTCTGTCTACAAGAGATTCAGGAGCTGGGCAAATTGTGCTGTGCAGCTGGTGCAGAAAATGTGCTGTCAATGAGCTGACATTTAAAGCAATGCTTCTTAACCACATCCCTTTCCTCAAGCTTCCATCTAACCTTCTGGACTACTCAAGGTCCAGCAAATTCTAAACTACCCAGGTCATCCTCAGGGGAAAAAAAATCACTAGAGGGAGTGAAAGCATGGAAAAGGACAACTTTAGGAAACTCCTATTTAAGAAGTGTGACTACAGCAGTCTCTTAAATAGAATTAGTGGTTTCTAAGAAAGTACTATGGGGTCATCAATAAAATAAAATGGGTTTCACCAAGCAGCTGCTGAAAGGCCTGGGCCAGGGTGCTACAGGTATGATTTTTCTACATGTTTGGAGTACAACAGAAGAGAATGGTGCTGAGGAAGATAAGAATTGTCAGAACTTTATAGTGTGCAAAATGTCCTGATTTATAGCTACATTGCCCCAGAATATTATTGGTATATGACTATAACTACAATATTGAGAATGTCTATAATTAGCTTAATTCTATATTAGAATAGTCAAGAGGCAAATTTCAGCAACTCTGCCTTCTAATCAGAGGTATACCACAACATATAAAATAGCCCCAAGAAACAGCAAATCTATAAAACAGCTTTGATCAAGCCGGGTGTGGTGGTGCTGGCCTTTAATGGAGGCAGATTCAGGCGGGTCTCTGAGTTCAAGGCCAGCCTGGTCTACACAGAGAGTTCAGGCCAGCTGGGGCTACAGGGAGACCCTGTCTCAAAAAGACTGAGTAAAAAAAAAAAAAAAAGCTTTGATCAAGAAATACAGTTTGCTGGCTGTGGTAATGAAAATCTATCATCTTAACACTCAAGAGGATGAGGCAAGAGGATTGAGAACTTCAGGCCAGCCTGGACTACATAGCAAGCCCCTACTGACAGAAAGAAGAGAGAGGAAAAAGGGAGGAAAAGCCCATAAATCTGGACAGAAACACACACACACACACACACACACACACACACATACACACACACACACACACACACACACACACACACCCCTACATATACTCACGTATTGACTGCTTTCTTCTTACCCTTTGTGTTTTAAAAACCTTTCCAACTAATCACAAGTGTACCTCCTAAGGCCATACAGGCTGCAGGGTTATGCTGGAACATGACAATGTCCAACAATTAGGGTTTTTTTTGGGGGGGGGGTCTTTTTAGACAGGGTCTCCCTGTAGCCCCAGCTGTCCTGGAACTCACTATGTAGACAAGGCTGGCTTTGAACTCACAGAGATCCACCTGCCTCTGCCTCCTGAGTGCTGGGATTAAAGGCGTGTGCCACCATGCCAGGCAACAATCAGTTTTTAAAACAATCAGAAATGAAGCCAACAGAAAAAATACTCTACTATCTGCCCCGGGTAGCTATGAATACAATTCAATGCAAAATCATAAACTTAATTGAAACATTATGAGATTGGGGGGGCGGTATTTCTTGTGACTCAGTTGTATGGTTCTCTGGTGTGAATTCTGTAGAGGTTCTTGACTTTGAACTTTGTAGATGACAATGTCTTGTCCCAATATCAAAAGGTTGGACACACCTGTGAGTCTATACATTTAAAGATCCTTAACAACAAAAACAAAAACACACTTGGCTATCTATAAACCATGTTCATAGAACAAATTAGCAGGAGATGATTAATTTCTGAAGGCCCACATCTCTATTCTCCATCTCCAGTATACTCATCTTACAATGTGCCAGTCAACATAAATGGATGGCTACTGAACTCTTCTGAAAGATAAAGACAAGTCCTTGTGGGTTACATCACCCCCAACTAAAGGGACAGAAAGTAATGATGCTTGTGTTTGTGAGGCAGAAGTAAATGAACCATGGAGCCCCTGAAGAGCATCAAGGTAGCCCAGGAAACACCACAGAAGTGAGGGGTAAACTGTCAAAAGGCTGGAGTGAATCACTAAACTGGGTAAGCTAGGAATTCGGAGACCTCCGAACCAACTCTAATATCCTAATTCCCTTCTTACTTAAGACTATTAAACATCTTAGCCTTTCCCAGACCAGCAAGCCTGATAAGGAACCTCCCTGCTGCTTTCTCCTCTTTTTACTGAATTAATGGTCCATTAACAGGCAATCAATAATGCCTGAAAGTCAGCAAATCATTTGTGATCCTGAATGATGTATTAATATCTTGGTTTCAGCATGTCCCTGTGTTATGGTGATAGTTTTGTCCTGCAGTTTTAGGATTTAGGCCTATGCCATTTAGGAACCCAGGCTTGAAAAGTCAACTCAAATCAAATTCTATCCCAATCAGCAACACTTATCAGGTTCCTTGTAGGTATTTATCAATCACTCTTGGGGTTTGATTGGAGTTGAGGTTTCTCAGTTGCAGGCCTTGTCAGAGCTTGCTTCTCTCTGTCCATTCTGGCCTTAACTTTCTGAAGTCTTCAGCAACTGCCATCGTCTGTGCATGTTATTGAACATTCAGAATACACTCAATACTAGTTTCATTTGACTGTTTTGTAATGAGTCCATTTTACCAATAAAGTTAAGCTGCTACAGAATAAGGCCAAAGTTGTCCTCTGTAATTTACTAATTACATGGAGCCAACCTCAGCCACTCTAGTCTAGAGGACTTAGCTACAAAATCCAAACAAATAGAAACAGCATCTGAATTCTGTAATAGCAGCCACTAAGGCCAGGCCCTTAAGCTCAGAGTTTTACTTGCAGCACAGTTATGAACACATTCTGTTATTTAGCTCATTACAAAAAGTAGGCTTCTGATTTGCAAAAAAAGTGTCAAACATCATTATACCTCTGCTATAGAACCCAAAAAACACTAAGAGAGAAGACTGTATTCACTGATGCCAATGGCATTTAAATATCCCAGGCATTGAATTATTAGTACTCCACTCAGAAGTGTTTGAAACCATCAGCTCTATGTTCCACATTGTACCTGAAGGTAGAATATGAGATTTAAATAGCAAGAGCAAAAGGTTAGCTATGGCGAGAAATCATAGGTTCACAAGTGGATAACTTCATCTCCTAAAACTAAAATAAACCTTTGTAATTGTTACATAAACTGTACAGACTGAACTGCTTCTTGGCCCTTTGGTTAGATCAAGTACAGCAATACAGATTCTTTACAGGAAAACTGTACATACATATATACACACACATATTTAAACAAAAAAGGGACTGGAAGAGATGGCTCAGAGGTTAAGGGTATATACTGCTCTTGCAGAGGAGCTGAGTTCAGTTCCCAGTACTCATATTAG